GGTTGGTTTGGTTTGGTTTGGTTTGGTTGGGTTTGGTTGGGTTGTGGTTGGTTTGGTTTGGTTTGGTTTGGTTTGGTTGGGTTGGGTTGGGCTGGGTTGGGTTGTGGTTGGTTTGGTTTGGTTTGGTTTGGTTTGGTTGGGTTGGGTTGGGCTGGGTTGGGTTGTGGTTGGTTTGGTTTGGTTTGGTTTGGTTGGGTTGGGTTTGGTTTGGTTGGGTTGTGGTTGGTTTGGTTGGGTTTGGTTGGGTTTGGATGGGTTGTGGTTGGTTTGGTTTGGTTTGGTTTGGTTTGGTTTGGTTTGGTTGGGTTGGGTTGGGCTGGGTTGGGTTGTGGTTGGTTTGGTTTGGTTTGGTTTGGTTGGGTTGGGTTTGGTTTGGTTGGGTTGTGGTTGGTTTGGTTGGGTTTGGTTGGGTTTGGATGGGTTGTGGTTGGTTTGGTTTGGTTTGGTTTGGTTTGGTTTGGTTTGGTTGGGTTGGGTTGGGTTAGGTTAAGTTTGGTTAGGTTGTCCTGACTGCAGGAGTGTGAGCTCATGGTTGTTAGGTCAGGACCTCAGATGTTCTGACATTTGTTCATCTTGTTCCCATTACTCACCAAATGTTGGGTCAAACGGGTTCAGACCCATGACCTTGAAAAGAACCAAACAAAAGATGGATGGCTCTACATGTACAGTGGGATCAATAATCGGATCAATACAGAGCAGGGAAATGATCAAATATCTGTAAGATGATGCCAGTGAAGCAGCAGCAGCCTCACTCTGAGACCTGTGGGTCCATGCTTGCCTGGGACGGTTCCATTTCTAAAGAGTCATACTGACTTTATGCAGATACACTAGTTACATTTTTATCTTCTGGTTCAATACAGACATTTTCATGCTTCTAGTTTTAATCAGCCTGAAGAAAAAAGACTCAAATTCAGAAACACAATCTTTGTTAAAGACTGTTAAAAGCTAGTAAAGTAGTTTGTTTCTGCAAGCACCATCCAAGCTATCAGAAGTTTGTTGAACATGTCTCCTTTTAGATTTAAAACCTGTTTTTGACCCAATAAATCATGATGTACTGTTATCAAAGTTCTCATGTCCTCTGCTGCATGGATTCTGTCTAACGGCTCACAGGCTGTTCAGACTGGTTCCAGCTCAGCTGGCATTCATTACAACTTTACACCAAAAACCTATTATTAAAAACAATTTATCATAGTTTTATGACCTGATCTCAGCAGTAATTATGTTCAAACATCATGTCTGTTTTCAAAAATACAATCATATTTTTAGAGACAACCTCGTCACGCTTTCTACTGTAATATTGTCAGTAATTAAAAGATCTTAAATTTATAAATGACTAAATGTTCAATGGTTTTGTTTTAAGGGTTTTAAATGGGTTTGCTCCTCCACCATTAAACTCTTTATCCAGAAATATAAAACACCAGATATCAGACTAGAAGGGACTGTGTCAGACCAAAACAAAGAACAGATGTGTTGTTAGCTCCCAGCTGTTAGCTCCCAGCTGTTAGCTCCCAGCTGTTAGCTCCCAGCTGTTAGCTCCCAGCTGTTAGCTCCCAGCTGTTAGTTCCCAGCTGTTAGCTCCCAGCTGTTAGCCAGCTGTTAGCTCCCAGCTGTTAGCCAGCTGTTAGCCAGCTGTTAGTTCCCAGCTGTTAGCTCCCAGCTGTTAGCTCCCAGCTGTTAGCTCTCAGATGTTAGCTCCCAGCTGTTAGCTCCCAGCTGTTAGCTCCTAGCTGTTAGCTCCCAGCTGTTAGCTCCCAGATGTTAGTTCCCAGATGTTAGCTCCCAGCTGTTAGCCAGCTGTTAGTTCCCAGATGTTAGCTCCCAGCTGTTAGCTCCCAGCTGTTAGCTCCCAGCTGTTAGCTCTCAGATGTTAGCTCCCAGCTGTTAGCTCCCAGCTGTTAGCTCCCAGATGTTAGCTCCCAAACATTAGCTCCCAAATGTTAGCTCCCAGATGTCAGTTCCCATGTTGTATCCCTTAGCTTATATCACCCAGGTGTTAGCCCACAGGTGTTAGCCCACAGGTGTTAGCCCACAGGTGTTATCCTTTATCTGTTTTGGTTTGATGACCTGAAGGACCAGCTTGACATGGTCACAAAGCCACTTCTGGCCGTCAGCCCATGTTTATTCCGATGTGTGACCAGTGGAAGTTGGGTACCTTCTTTCTGAATCTATCATCATGATCTGACCACAGGTCAGGATCATTGTCAGGTCTACATTGGTCACCTTGCTGTGGGCATAGACCACAGATCCCAGCAGCTTCCAGGTCCCTCCTCGTCGGTCCATTCGGATCATACGAAGAATCTGCAGAAACCGAAGAGACCTGATGGCTGATGTAGCGAAGACGTTTCCTTGAGTTCCAGCAGCCAGGACTGAAATGGAAGCTATCAGCACCATGATATCTGCAGGTCAAAGGTCAAGAAGAAAATCAGGAGTTTATTAATTATGTTTTTATCCAAAATTATTACTTAGGATAAAATGCTGAACATCCATCCATCCATCCATCCATCCATCCATCCATCCATTATCTTATTCCCGCTTCTTCCTTTCAGGGTCACTGGAGCCCAAATCAAGCGATTACTGTGCAAGGGGCAGGGTACACCCTGGACAGTCTCCTGTCCATCACAGGGCCACATATACAGACAAATGAAACAAAACCTTCACACTCTCACTCACACCTAGGGACAGTTTAGTTACCAATTAGTCTAACAGTCATATTTTTAGCACGTGGGAGGAAAAATGAGTACCTGGAGAAGACCCATGCATGCACAGAGAGAACATTACCTAAACTACAAGCATGTCTTCCAGACATAAAAACACGGATGACTCTTAACTTTCTGCTTCTAAACTCAGATAAGACAGAGGTT